ATCATAGGAGCAGAGAGGCTCTGCTCCTATGATGCTGCTTGGCCTGCTGTGTTCATCCAGCCCTGCACCTTGTTGTCTCGGATTCTCCAGCATCTGCAGTTCCTACTATCTCTGATTCAATATAGTATGGGATGTCTGGATTACTCCTTGGTGCTTCTTTCCAAAAAATATTTTACTGGTAGTCAAATGCTGTGGCTATTATTGGGAAATAAAGTGTTTCTTACTTATGATGAAGTATGTATTGAGGGCAAATTCACCCTGACAAATGCAGTCTGTTGAATCATTTCCTTTTTATTAACGTAGGTGTTTGAAAATTGATTCTTGATGGAGCAGCTTACTCATTCAACCAATCCATCTGGCAGTATAAAGTACAATGATGACTTGACTTATGGACTGTAAGGCAATGTGTAAAAAACACAGGACATGTTAAAAATAGGTTGTATCTATTTGCCTTCACAGATTTGAGCTCTAGCCATGAGATAAAAAGACATATAGAATACAGTTTCTTTACTATTGCAAGAATTGTGCCCTGAGTAAGACTGTATTGCATCAATTTTAGTGACCATAAGGGGAGACTAGTTTGAGAGGTTAAAGGGCTGACACAGTTTGGCATGCTTTATATTGTGCTTAGAAACTGGCTTTATTCTGCGATGAAGGTCTGAGTCACAGCTCACCCAACAGGCCAAAGTCTGGGGGAGTTCTTTAACTGGAGTTTTTCACAGAAGAAAAATGTAACTTTAACCACAGGAACTTTCATCTCCACCAAAAGCGGGGGCCGTGATTTTCTTCAGGCATCTTGGGACGAGTGTGGAATTATGACAGTGCTGTTACATTGTTGCCTAGCAGCTATTTGTTTACTGAAGTAACTGTGTGGCAAGATGGAACTCAGAAGGAAGTGTGACCTAAAAGAGGTCATTTGTGCAACAGTACAGTTAGGAAGAGGATAACCAAGAGTTTTATAAGTTTGATTGTTAATACGTGGATAAGATTGATCCTATTGCTAAATGTCCAATGATTTGAAGCATATTTCATAGTTCTTTTTTCCAGAGATTAAGTTAATGATTCAAGTTCTTGTTCCAGCTCCTGAAAACTTTTGGAAAATCTTTGTAAAATACAATTATCTTGCAAAGACTATTATTCTAACCTGAGGTTTCTGTATGTAAATCTGATGTACTCTTGTAATGCAAAATAGCTGCCTAGGAATAATTAGCAGGAGTACCAGTATCTTAATGACAATATAGAGAGATGAGAGCCTTATTTCTGTCATGTAAATACTGGTCACTATTCAACCCTTATTTATACTGTCATGAAAATGACCTTTAACATGCTCATATTTGACTTTAATATGCATGTATATTTATTTATGTCAAAACCACATAGAAAAATCTTATCAAAATTGCACAACACACTATATAATAAGAATCTACATTTTACCTATATTGGACATTATCAGCTGTATGTTTGGTATTCCCTTCACTTTTGCTTAAAGATATATCCTTGGATAATAATTTATTTGTGGATACCTTTACGATTAAAGGTACTGAGACCAGGAAACATCAAGTGGTTTGTCACGAGTGCTTAACACGATCCTGTAATGCCTTGGAGTGGATTCTTAGCAGGTGTTTCAAAAATGAAGAATTCCTTCACAGTAGCTTTATTCAGCTCTCTTTGTTCATTCTCTGCTCATATCCACAAGGTTTGATTCACTACCTACTTGTTCTGTCCACAAATGCTGTTCATTCTCTTTTGCTTCTATTTTCTTCTCCAATTAGTAGATGAATGTTTTTGGAGATAAAACTTAGTCAGCTTAGAATAGAATTGCAATTTATTGTTACTTGTATTTTTGAAAATACAGTGAAAGGTGTTTTAGTCACCACAATTTGGCACCACTTTAATTACAGAAATTATAAAAAGAAATAATTGAGACAACGTTGATTTTCTGTTCCCTCCATAGTCCCTGGGTTTATGGATGGCTATGGGACTTTGCCTTCGAAATCGCTCCTGAGGCAAACAAAGGAAGGATTTCTGGACCGGACCCACCATGCTGCCACTGCTGAAGCCAACACCAAAGCCACTGCATCACGCCGAAGTAAGGAGTGACAGACTGAGCTCACCAAGTTGTCGATGCTGAAGCCATCGCTCAAGCCGTCAAGCACTTAAGGTGCTGCCCAAATCTGCCATATTGCTGCCTTGGCCACAAGGAATGAACCAGAACCACCATGCCTCCACACTATAGACACCGCTGAAACTGCTGCCAGAAGGAATGGACCAGACCCACCGACGTTGAAGGCTTCAATAAAATTGTGACCATTATGGCCACAAGGAAAGGACATCCAGATCCACCATGCTGCCACCACCACAGCAGGCCCCAACAATCGCTTTCCTACACCACAGCCGTGGAAAAAAAAGAAAATGTGAAAAGTGAACTTTGATACAAAAGAGAAGCGAAGAAACAAATTAAAAACAAAAACAAAAGAATGCGATTGGCCGTGTGAGTGAGAGCCGGAGCGTATGGGCATAGAGCCCAAACATTCTTACTCTGCCGCCGCCATCTTGAAACTTTTCCAGTGTGACAAAAACTCCTTATTTACAGTTCATCACAGGGGCAAGATGAAAGTTTACACAAGATGCCCATGTCATCAATTCTGTTAATCAGGAAATATTAGTATGAACGATATTGTGAGCAATACAAGGCAGCCAAAACTATTACATGCAATTTTGCTACAAGTTTTTAGAACAATTTTTTGGAAACTGGCCACACCAGCACAAAATATGCTAGAATTTCACGAATGGAGTTTGTGATTTTTTTGCTGGTTTAAGAATATGGCCCCAGATTAAGGCTATAGCTTCAGATCAAATTAATCACCATTGCGAGTTTTCATGACTTGCTCCCAAATACAGGCTTTTGAGGAGCTCTTTTTAGTGCTTGGGCACATTGAATGTTTTTTATTTCAAGTTGCCAAGAAACTATCAACTATACTCTGAGACTAGAAATTGTTCTGTTACTTTTAATGTTGGTTATTTTAAATATTTACAGGTGCTAAATTAATTTAGTCTGGTGAAAATGTTTATGCCTTTGTGATAACCCCCGTTTCAGTTGCACTGATAAGTCTGAATCAGTTTACCATTCTGTCCATACGTCAAAGCATTTTACATTTTGCATTCTAACATGCTTCCTAAATGGACTGGATATGTTAATATGCAAATTAAGTTAAACCATATACAAAAGAACAAAAGCACTTTTCATAAGAAGCACAAGTTTGATCACAATTTGCGTAGTCTGTAGATTGCACCTGAAGTGGAAAATCTTAGCCAGCTAACTGTAAATTTACACTCACTTTGCATGAGTAAGTATCGTGAAGTCTATTTGACAGCAAAAACGAATTGTTTACGATGTATGTAGTATTTACAAAGGACAAAGAACAATACAGCATGGGAACAGGCCATTCGACCCACCAAGCCTGTGCCTGACCCACCACGCCTGTGCCTGACCCACCACGCCTGTGCCAATTCCTAATCCTTATTGAGGTCTGCTACTTGTTGCCCAAATATGGTTTCTATCCCTTTGTTCACTTCCTGTTCATGTGTCTGTCAAGATATGCCCTAAATGTTGCTAACATGCCTGTTTCCAGCACCTCCACTGGCAGTGCATTGCAGGCATCCACCACTCTCTGTGTGAAAAAGTGTCCCCGCACTTCTCCCCTACTCCCCCTTTCACCTTGAACCTGTGCCCTCTTGTAGTTGACCTTTCCACCCTACGAAAAAGCCTCTGACTATCCACCCTATCTATGTCCCTCAAAATTTTGTAGACCTCTATCAGGTCGCCCCCTCAGCCTCTGTCTTTCCAGTGAAAACAATCAGAGTTTATCCACCCGCTCCTTGTATCTAAAACCCTCCAGACCAGGTAACATCCTGGTAAACCTTCTGTGCACCCTCTCAAAGCATCCACGTTCTTCTGATAGTGTGGCAACTACGTGGAAGGTTTCAACAAAAGTATTTTGGGAGAAATTATTTCCATTGACAGAAAAGCCCAGTATAGCAGCAAATACAGATTTACAGCAATTGGCAAAAGAACTGGAGAGGTGAAGAATTTTTATTTTACTCGGTTGGTTACTTTCCTGAAATGCAGTCAGAAGATGGTGGAAACTGATTCAATAGTAACTTGCAAAAGGAAATAGAGTGAATACTTGAATAGGAAAAATCTGCAGGGAAATGACAGAGCTGTGGGGTTAACTGTGCCTTTGTCAGCTCTTTGAAAGTTATCCAATGGGTGAATGACCTCCTTCCTCTGTTCTGTATAGATCTAGGTTTCTTTGACAATAATGGGATGTGATATTGTTCAGGTGGGTCAGTCACAGCTGACTAAGGGGATTTTGAGTTTCTTCAAATTTCCAATTTAAGCCTGTAGCAGACAGTAATGCAGATTTCCATGGTAACAAAAATTTTTTGATCAGAATCCAGCACTCAGTATCCCAAGCAAGCCCGAAGCCAAAGTCAGCCTTGGCTGCTTTGGTCGTGTAGACACCTTGCTTAAATCCTTTCCGATATGCTGGAACAGTTCTACCACATCTGAGCTTTCCATTTCAAATCAGCCCATAGAAACACAGATCTTTTCCCTTTTTTAGTGAATGTCCAGCAGGTTCCAGTAATTTTTTTTTATTTGCTTTACTATATACATCTGTTAGCTTGGAATGCTCATGCTCTGATTGTCAGTCAGTTCTGTGGAACAGCTGGCTTTCTGTGCAAGCAGCCTTTCTCCTTTATTACTCACTCCATTTTCTAAGATTTTCTAATTCTAAGATTTAGTAACACAAGTACAATATTATTTCAAATTGAGCTTTGTATGTATTCTAGATTTTCCTCCAGCCTCTTATTATCAGCGAAATGCTGTTAAAACTTATCGAAGCTGGAATAATAAATGTTAATATTCTGTAACTGCCCTGGATTTTCAGAATTTTAGATCTTCAGAGAACTGAGAATCATGGCCTATAGTCATTCTGTGGGTATGGGTTCCTACTGGTAATTAATCTTCAGCTCTAATTTTAAATGATTTTCCACATTTTTACATCACTAGAAATCTTACAAAACTGCAGCTTCTTGCTCTAAATGTCTCTATAGTAACCTTTTACTGTAGGCCATTTCTACCAATATTGAATGCTCTAAGTTCTTGAAATGAACTGATATTTGGAAATAACAAAGTGCAGGGCTGGATGAACACAGCAGGCCAAGCAGCATCATAGGAGCAGAAAGGCTGACGTTTCGGGCCTAGACCCTTCATCAGAAAAGGGGGAGGGGAAGGGGGTTCTGAAATAAATAGGGAGAGAGTGGGAGGCGGATAGAAGATGGATAGAGGAGAGGATAGGTGGGAAATATTGGTTCAAATGCATCAACATTTCTGCTTTATCAATCAAAAGTGGCATGGTGGCTCAGTAGTTCCCACTGCTGCCTCATAGCACTGGGGGCCTGGGTTCAATCCCAGCCTCTGTCTGTGTAGAATCTGCACATTCTCCCCATGTCTGTGCAGGTTTCCTCCCAAAGACCTGCAGGTTAGGTGGATTGACCATGCTAGATTACCCATAGTGTGCAGGCTAGGTGGGTTAGCTGTGGGAAATGTGTAGTGATAGGGTGGGTTGCTTTCCAAAAGGTTGGTGTGGACTGAGGACATGCTTCCACACTATACGGATTCTCTACTTATAAAGATCATTTTTAAATTATTGTTATGATTATGATGAATAAATAAGGATGGACCTGGTCACACAAGTGATTCTGACAGTTGCTAGGTCAAGTTCCCTTGTCTTTAGTTGTCAATAGTCATCAATATTTGGGACCTGTAACAAATTCTCATACTTCTTCATACCAACCCCACCCGAAGGTGGTGATCTTGCTAGGACATGGTTCTATGAGCATCAGTGTTTTTTAACTCAAATAAGAACTCGGTCATTGAGAGTCCAGGAAGGCAGGAACAGTCGGCTCTTTGGCAGTGAGGATGAATTATTTGCCTTCCCTCTATTAGTATACACATCCAGCAGTCTGATGCATTTGTAAAAGTAAATTGATCGCTACTTTTATTAGTCTCACCATCTTGAAAAAAACCAGCTTGTATTATCCACAATACTTTGCTGTTTAATTGTAAAATTCCCTAAGTTCTCAGTTCTAGTTGTATTAAAGCATTTTTGTTTTACAACGATAAATAATCTTTGAGGAATTGAAGGCTAAAGTGATCAAAGGGTATGTGGAGAAAGTGGGAATAGGGTACTGAGTTAGATGATCAGCCATAATCATATTGAATAGCAGTGTAGGCTTGAGAGGCCAAATGGCCTTACTCCTGCTTTTATTTTTCTATGTTTTTATATTACTATGTTTAGGTGAAACAGATCCTATCCAGTGAAAGGAATAGAAGCTGGAAAGTTACTATTTCTAGCTGTAGGCTATGTTTCCGTTGCATTTCAGAAATCAAATGTGTGCTTTCTGCATATTTTTTGCTATGATAATTGCTAGGAGACGTTTTATTGATGAGTCACACTGTTGCTAAGAGCATTCTGGGCTCACGACCAATTGAACCAAATTGCACTCCTGCCAGACATCTTGAGGGTATTACATCACACATAGAAACAACACAGCTTGTCTGTCTCCAGACACAGCTTATAGTTGTAAAAAAAATTAGATTAGCAGATATCAAAGATTTGTTTTATTCACTTCGGGGGCTGTGTATCTGTCTACCATCCAACATAGACTTCTTTCACAACATGATTTCAGCTCTCATATTTCTTACATGTGCTGTTGCCATGGTACAAAAATAGTAAATTAGGTTCATCAGGACTTAGTTTTGTTGGAGGTTTTAACCATGGCATGTTGCAGTCTATAGTTTCTAATTAAATTACTGTATACTACTGTCTTGAAACTATAAATAATTCCTGTTCTGAATTTCTCTAGACTCCTAAACTAATTAAGACAAGTAACTAGATCCTGCTACACACAAAAGCAACTAACTACACTTCTTTAGATGCATTGTTAACTTTCATTCATAACAACTGAGTTTTCAACATCTGTGTTAACAATAAACAGATTTACTTTCTACTACTGCAGACATTCTAACATTCCAAGCAACAATAAAATAAATATTCTTTATTGGTAACAACATCTTGGTAGGATTGTATTATAAATGATTATCGATATTGACCTTACATTTCTGATTTCAAAACCTAAGACCTTCATGGACTAAAATGATATAGTGATTGTTAAGAAGTCAGCCAGTTGGACCTCATTGAATGAGTCCCCCGAATGGGTGTTAATCTGGTCCAATTAGGCAGACCTGGCTGACATAAAAGGATGAATGTCAGTGATACTGAGCCTCTGAATGCCTAATGTGGTGCAAGGCAGTGC